GACTTAATCATGTTTCAGTTTGAACTTCCATCTTCTGCTTATCTAACAATTCAGTAGTTAAGGGAGAAAAAGTTGAAGATTCTAATTTTTCTTGGAAAGAATTTCCTTCTTTTTGTTCTTTATCTGAACCAAATATCTTCTTGAACATGACATATATTTAGGTAATTTTTTCCAAAGCGTTAAACGACTTCTTTTTTTGCTAACTTTTACAGAGTTAGCCAACTGTCTTTAAGGCAATTTAGTAAGCAATTGAACTTACTTGATTGTTATCATATGTTTTTTTAGTTTTCTAAATCTTTATACTTTGGGCTGATTTTCGCCCGACGGGATGTTCTCAAATATAAAGAATTAGTTTCTTTTGGGTGTTTAGCATGGTTTACTTGATTTAACTGATTTTATTAATTTAGAAGAATTATATTGTTATGACAATCAATTAATAGGAATTGAGTTTGCAGATAGTATATTCGATAAATTACGAGTTTTACACGTTGGAAATAACCATTTTTTTCCACAAGATTTATCCTTATTTAGCCATTTCATCAGATTAGAAGTCCTAAACTTAGAAAATAATAAGTTTGTGGGCAGTTTGAAAGTTCTAAAAAATTTGGTTAATCTCCGCTCGTTGGATATTAGCAATACCAACGTTGAGAGCGGTTTAATTTATTTGTCAGACCAGTTAGAAAGCCTATTTTGTCGAGTAGAAAAAGGAGTTAGATGTCAAAAAATTACTGAGAAGTTGAAAGAATACGATTTAGGACATGACTGTTACGATTTCCAAGCCTGAAAAAAAGATGAAAATTGGCTAGTGATTCCTCGGTACCTTTTCCAACTTTCTTCCGAATTGTCATTTTTCTCGGGATGGTGCTGCAAAGATAATGCACGATATTTTTTTTTAATCTCTATTTCCGAGACATTTTCTTTTAAATTTAGTATTTGATAGGCTTGTGATTTTTCCATGACGGTATTTTATTTTTGTTAGTTATACATAGTATTAATATGTTAAATTATTCTGTATAATGATTTTTGAAGTTAGTATTGATTGATCCGAATCATTTCGGAAATTTTTTTCGTGAATTGCCCCATCCTAATTGAACTTGAGGATGGGGTTCCATTTAATAGTAAATATTTAACTACTACACAGCCAGAATTTTTTCTAGTTTTAAACTAGTTTGTTAGTTATTTTGGCGGCACACTAGTAAATGCTTCTTGTTCTTCTTTGGCTTGCTTCTCTTCCATCTCTTTTCACTGTTTTTCTTGAATTTCCAACTTGCTTATTTCGGTCTGGATTTGACAAAATTCTTCAATCTCCTCTGGACTAAGTTTAGCAACTAATTTATCTTTGGCTTCTTGTAATTTATCCTGTGCCCGAACAAAAGTTTTACTTCTTTGGCTAACATCCTCAAAAACTGCTAAATCAAAATTTTCTTGTTTTTCTAAAAGATTATCTAGCAGATAAATTTGATTTCCTAATTCTCTCTCAACTGCAAACTTCAATTGCTCTTGCTCTTTCTTCTTGACTTCTAATTTGGTTTGAATGTTGTCTTTTAATCCCTGACCAAGCATTTCTTGTAGTTCTTCAGCTAATTGATGAAGTTTTTTTCTTTCATTTTTTAATTGATCATTTAAATTATCCTTTTCCTGAAATAATTGTTTCTTTTTTTCGGGACTAGTTCACTCATTTTTCATTTTTAGGTTTTCCTTTCGAAAATCATCAAGTTGGTTTTGTAATTGTTTTATTTTCTCTTCGGAATTAATTAATCCTTGCTTCTTTTTCTCCACGTCTTCTCTTTCTTTTTTTAAACTTTCTTCCAGTGAACTTAATCTCTTAACCTTCTCATCTTTTTCCAGTCGGAGATTACTAAATTTATTCTGTAGGTCAGAGAGTTCGTTTCTTGTGGTGGACAATTCCTGATTTGTTTTGGTAATCTCCTTTCGCTTTTGTTCCAAATCTTCTTCGGAAGAATTCATTTTTTTAGCACTTTCTTCTTTTTCTTCCCACAACTCCCTAATCATCAAAGAAGGGAAAACTTTTTCAAATTCATAACCACCATCATCAATCCCTTGGATAATTCCGGAAGCATCAAAACCTCCAGGAATAGTGCCCGAAGTGTCTTCAACAAAATTTCCGGGGGT